TAGCTCAGGCCGGTGGACGGGGGCTGGGGATCTCCCTTCTGTTTAAACCCTGAACCCTAAACCCTCGTATCTGAAATCTCGGTTTAGCTCAGCCGGTGGACGGGGGCTGGGGATCTCCCTTCTGTTTAAACCCTGAACCCTAAACCCTCGTATCTGAAATCTCGCTTTAGCTCAGGCCGGTGGACGGGGGCTGGGGATCTCCCTTCTGTTTAAACCCTGAACCCTAAACCCTCGTATCTGAAATCTCGSTTTAGCTCAGGCCGGTGGACGGGGGCTGGGGATCTCCCTTCTGTTTAAACCCTGAACCCTAAACCCTCGTATCTGAAATCTCGSTTTAGCTCAGGCCGGTGGACGGGGGCTGGGGATCTCCCTTCTGTTTAAACCCTGAACCCTAAACCCTCGTATCTGAAATCTCGCTTTAGCTCAGGCCGGTGGACGGGGGCTGGGGATCTCCCTTCTGTTTAAACCCTGAACCCTAAACCCTCGTATCTGAAATCTCGCTTTAGCTCAGGCCGGTGGACGGGGGCTGGGGATCTCCCTTCATCTAGATGTGTATAAGAGACAGCTCCCACGCCTCTCGCTCCCTCTCCCGCTCCTCCCACTCCTCCTCCTCCTCCTCCTCCCCCTCCCGCTCCTCCGCCAAACAACGTGACAAAGATCCCGCCATAGCCCCGCTCCCGCTTGTTCTCCTGCTGCTCCTCCCTCTCCTCCTCCTCCTCCTTCTCCCGCTCTCCCTCCTGCTGCTTCTCCTTCTCCCGCTGCTTCCCCTGCTCGTTCTCCCGTTCCTCCTCCCGCTCCTTCTCCCGCTCGTCCTCGTGCTCCTCCTGCTTCTCCTCCTCCACCTATATCTCCTCCCCTCCTACGCGTCCCGCGCGTTCGTTAACCCCCTCCCCGTTTCCCCTCCCGCTCCTCCTCCTGCTCCTTCTACCGCCCCTCCTCCCGCGCCTCCTCCTCCCCTTCCCGTTTCTCCTCGTGCTCCTTCTCCCGCTCCTAACCCCCTCCCCGTTTCCCCTGCCGCTCCTCCTTCTCCAGCTCCTCCTCCAGCGGCTCCTCCGCCCCTTCGCATTTCCCCTCCCGCTCCTCCCGCACCTGCTCCCGCTCATCCTCCCACTCCTTTTCCCGCTCCTTTTCCCATCCCTCCTCCCGCTCCTCCCTCCTCCTGCTCCTCCTGCTCCTCCCGCTCCTCCTCCCGCTCCTCTCCCGCTCCTCCGCCAAACAACGTGACAAAGATCCCGCCATAGCCATCTCCTATGAAAAAAACAAAAGAAAAATGGCCCGCCACGTCGCTAGCCGAGAGAGAGAGAGAGTTTTCCATCGATAGAATGAGCAACGCACCGGCCAACAGGCAATTCGATTTTGCTCATCCTATCGATGCAAATAGCGTAAGGCCAGGCGCTGGGTTGGAGACTTACCTGCTCGCCGGTGCGTGTCTCTCTCTCTCTCTCTCTCTCTCTCTCTCTCACTCACTCAAACACACACACACACACACACGCACACGTGTAGTAGGTATATTTCCATGTCCTAGTGGAAGATTCATTCAATTTTGCTCATCTATCGATGCAAATAGCGTGAGGCCAGCCCAGGGGTTGGAGACTAACCCGTTCCGCGTTGTGTATCTCATCCAATCTCTCTCTCTCTCTCTCTCTCTCTCTCTCTCTCTCTCTCTCTCTCTCTCTCTCTCTCTCTCTCTCTCTCTCTCT